TTCTGCTGAGCCTGTGATAGTCTCTGGGTACTACAACTTACTCGTAATGTTAATGAAGTCCCCTAACATAAACACTGCTTTTCTAACACACTCCTTGGGGACATGGAAAAATCCCTTGGCTTCAGTTCAGGAAAAGGCAGGGTCGAACAGAAACACACAGTGGGTATAAACCATCAGAGAGAAAAAGAACCTGCTTATTGCCAGCTGGGCTAGGTGGTTATTTAAACACAATCTTTGTCTTGCCTTCTCTCCTTCTTGCTGCCCAGCACCAAGCCTTGCAGACGGCAACGCATTAAACTGATGCAGGAGCTTGAGTTCTTTGCATTGCCCTGCTGCTGCCCTGGCCTCGATTGCCAGAGCCATGCAGCACGAGGATGCCTACTGCTCTGACAGACAGAAACTGCCTGCTCTTGTCTGAGGCAGAAGGGCATGCGCTGTTCTTAGGAGGGTGAACCTGAACTGTTTCTTCAAATGAATTACACAGAAAAGGGAGTTCTGAAAGGACAAAGACAATGAATAAGTTGCTTTAGCTGAAAGATCTGGATTAAAATAAATAGATAAATAAATAAAAATTAACCTTTTTCTTTTTTGCACTGATGTGATTCAATCTAAAAGTGTAAAACTGTAATGTAGTTGAACAAAACGACAAGTTGAAGAATGAAAGAGGGAGAAAAATAAAAAGCTCCCAATCACTTTGATTTTAAGAAAGCTTTTCGAGCTGGAACGAAACAAGAAATGGGCACATTTTTTGTTGTTCTCTTAAAAGACAAAAGAGCTTAATACCAACTTAATGATCAATTTCAGCCTAGCCCAAATTTCAGTTTGGCATCTGAACTAAAAATCACATCTCTTGTTCAGCTCTAGTGCTGAGCTAAATGATCTGCTCAGACCTAGTCATACCCTGGATTCATCCCTCTAAACAAGACTCTCCCTGAGGTTTTTGTGCACCAGACTTATTTCTCATACTGATGAATATTAGTCATTCCCTGGCCCAACTATTGGCATCTGCCAAAGCAGAAAATAACTCTTCTTCTGCACATCAGCTGAATGCTGTGGTCCATTGGTGGATATGGGACATGGTGATGCAACTGGAGCACCCTGGCATAATTAAAAGCACCCACAACTCCCAGTAGAACAGAATGGTTCACCTGCAAAAATGGCATTATTATCCAGTCTCATACAAATCTCTGAATCCTATATAGAGACCTAGGATAAGCAGATACGTTAGAGCCCCTAAGGGTGGTCTTTCACTGCCTTGCTGATTACTCTGGCTGTAGGAACAGCTCAGGGTGAGGTAAGGTTTGTTGTCTGATGAATATGACAGAGGCTATCACCGTTCTGGGTCCTCAGGTCTGAAAAACATGAAGTCCTTGCCTAGATGCACCCCATCTCACCTGCTGATGGTGACATTGCTGAACCAGGAGCCTGGACAGAGGTAGGTAGGTGTCCTGAAATACGTGCCCCATGGAGACAAGGGAACAACTCTCCTTCCAGAGTCACCTACTTCTCTTCATTGCTCACATATGGAGTGCAGAACAGCTTGTCACACTTTGCTCCAGCAGGGCCACCCAGAGCAGGGTGTGCAGAACCACCTCTGGGGGTTTTTGAAGGTCAGGGAGGGAGACTTGTTACTTCTCTGGTAACACATACTACTGCTCTGTCATCTGCATAGTAAGGAAGTACTTCTGGAGTTCAGAAGGATATGGAAGATTATGCTGGGTGAGATGAGTTTCTGTTGGTGACCACTGACGTAGGAGGACATAAAGATATACCTGGGCTCATAAGAGAAAGGTAAAGTTTTAAATAGGAAAGTACAGCTCAACAAAGGCTCAGTTCATCTGCACAGATGGTACTGTGGTATGTATCCAGTGAGTTCAGGCATCATTTCCAACCTGAAAGAAACTGCCTCTTTTGAGGGCATCTCCAATGCAGCAGCGATAGAGCTCTGCTTTCTTCATGTCTGTGACAAGTTTCATGCCTCTTGGGAGGACAAGTTGTGAAATTTATCTTTTCACCAGAATCTGCGTGAAATTGGTGCATTTTCCCCTTGAGAAAGCCCCTGAAACTGATAGCCATCAACCAAAGTGGCCATGAAATTCTTGAGTTTGCTGAAGCACATCAGTCTTTGACTTCAGAGCCAGTGATCTGACAGCACACACAGTCATTTCTGTGTGGTTTGCAGCCTTCCACCAAAGAAAACAGACATGTTCTGATCAGCTTGAGTTGTGTGCTTCTAGTAGATTTGGCAAGAGAAATACAGATAACTTACTTTAGAAATAACAGGATCAGGCAGATAGCTATTGAAGAAAATCAGTGGAGATAGATACAGCATATCACTACAAAGTTCAATAGATCTACACAATCACCTTCCATTCGATTCCCTCTACAGAAGAAAGAGCTAGAAGAAAATACAAAAACTAAGAATATGGTAATCCAGAAGGAGGAGATAGAGATTAGAGAAAAGACCAAATAACAGTTCTTATGGCTTTCCCTCTTCTTCCAATAGGAAGAAATGCTCACATGCTGTACCCTACACCTTATGTTCCCCATTAACAACGGGCACCACATCACACTTGCTGGTACAATCATTATCTGTGTAAGAGATATCAGTTGTGAGCAGTTGGCAAGAGCATGGATCAAGACAGAGCATCTCTGCAAGGAAAGACTGCATAATAGAGGTAGGTTCTCTTAGGTTTCAAAAGCATCTCCTACACATGGTGCAGATCCAGAGCTATGCTGTCATCTGTAGCAGTGATGGGCCTGATCTGCTATTCTTTAGCAACTGAAAACTCAGAAACCAAACTGTTTCGAGAAATCTAGGCAGAAGGAGAGTGTCCAAGAGGAGGAGCACAAGGCATGAGAGCGCAGGCACAGAGTGACAAGAAGAGCAGTGTCAGCAAGGGCAGGAGAAAGAGCAGATGGGCACTGGGGAACATGGCCCAGGAGGATTGCAGAGCTGAGAGTGGGAAGAGCTGGAAAACAGCTGATAAATACATTTAAAAAGGTGAATGGGAACAGGAGAAAAGGTCAGAGGATGAAAGGTAGACCAGAAAGGGAGAAAGATTTAATTCAAATTCAGATACGTTTTTGATTTCTATGCCTCTCATTCATATGAACATTTCTTTTAAAAAAAAAAAGAAGAAAAAAAAGGAAAAAAGGAAAAAAAGTCTGTAGATATTCTTCCTGCACTCTTGCAAAGATTTGATCTTGAATTCCTACTGTGGTGAAAGCCCTCAAGCTGAAACTTGGTGCTTCTTGGAGGCAATGCTAAGAGGTTGGTGCCCCACCTGATGCTGTTTTTGTCTCTGTGCTCTGAGGTGCTGTTGCTTGTTTGCCTGCGTCCTGACTGTAGGAACCCTTGTGCTAGATCTAATGAGTCACTGTATGAACAAACTGGGTGGTGCCATGTGCCTACTGTTTCATAAGGAACTGGGAAAAAAATAATTTGCAGACCATTTTGGGGTTAAAATTTAAGAGATCTCTTTTCCTTGAAACAGTGGGTGACTTGAATTTGGCCCGCCTTGAAGCATGCTGGCATTAAGATACACTAATTAGCAATGAGAGACATCTGGATATTCTTATTGTAAGTATTCAGTCTTCTCTATGTAGATTACACTAGGCATTAGAATGGTAGGCTAGATCCCACTACAGCATCCATCAAATCATACTTACATGCAGTTATCACTTTATAGAAAGTTATAATAGGAATCATAATAATTTTAAGTAAGAGCTGATTAACATATTTACAGTATACTTGAATTTCAAGCTTTGTGCATTTCCAAGCAGAGGGCATTGCTTAACGTTGTTCTTTCACAGATTCTCTCCCTGTGAGCTGGAGAAGCCAACTCTTTACCCTTTGGTGGAAGAACACAGGTGTACTTTTAAAAAGTCTTGATTGACTAAAGAAAGCCACAGTCAGATTGGGGCAGAAGGGATCGCAAGCCAAACACGCTGGAATGTTTTGTTCTCAAAACACTGCATTGGTTTCTGTGGCCCTATTTTCTGATGTTCAGTGGTGGCTACAATGCATTCCTCAACGTGGGCAAGAAAACAGCACTTGAAAATCAATAACCTTGGATATTCCTCACCACTCTGACCTCAGACATCTCTTACCTAAGGAAGAACTTGTACCAGTTGGAGGCTGTGCATCCACGTTGGTCACCAGTCCAGCCCTAGATTGTCCAGCCCCCACCAGTGGCTAGACTAGCAGCTGCTAGTCTAACGTAGCCACTTCCTACACGTACCTAGGATAAAAAATGTTACACCACAATGTCAAGATATGCAGTGATGCATCAGAATGTACATAGACAAGTAGCCTTGAGCAGCAGAACATAAGCCAGCTGAGTATGAGTAAGGTAATGTTGAACCTCCCAAATTGGCAAAGAAAGGCGCTCTGCATCAGCAACCAAAACATATTCCCCTGACATGAGATGACCTTCCTATCTGTAGGTTTTTGGAGAAGATGCCAGGGAAAAAGGCAGAAGCTGCTTTTATTTGAGACAGCCTCCAGCTCTCGGGCCTCACTCCCATTGACATCTTTGCAGACCTCAGCCCAACGTCTTTGGGCAAACCTTTACCATCTGCTGAATTTTCAGCTGTTTTAGTTTCCTTGTGATGTGGGTGATCATTTTTCAGATAAGACTGATAGTGTAGGATGGGTATGTTATTACTGTGTCACCTTACCTCTGATCATTAAAAAAAAAAGCTTTTACAACTCCCTCACAAGATTTTAGGTCATGGGTGAAAACAGGAGGCTTATACGTCCTGGCTTGTAGAACATAATTTGTTTACAGGGTAAGAGGAAAGGCAGGTGCACAATGGGGAGGCTGCAGCCAGCTGAAGGGGAACATGTGGAAGCCATGCAACTCTGGTAAGAGGCTGTGCACAGAAATACTTTGTCTCACAAGATCTTTTATATATATACAAAGCACCTAAAATTATATATATATATATAATTTTATTTATATATATATATATATATAATAATTATATATATATAATTTTAGGTGCTTTGTTACCATTTCTTCTGAAGTGATATTGCTCTCTTTCTCTCTTTGTGGGGACAGTAGTATGATTTTGAGTGCTGACTGCCTTCACTAAGAAGTTGGGGTATTGTCTCTATGTTTTCTGCTTCAATATTCAGCCTTCAATACCAAACCAAACCTGCCACCTGATCTTTTCATGCTTTCTTATTTTCTTTATAATTTAAAACTTAACCAGCCTCTCAATCCTGTTCTTTAAATCTTGGATCTGGATGAATCATTTGCCTCTTTACTTGGGCCATGCCATAAATGTTCTGTTTCATAGTAGGCAATTGGCCATAAAAGATGAACTGTTAGAAGACAGACAGCCGTAGGCTGTATTTCAGTCAGTCTTCAAGCTACTTAGAGCTGTTTAACTCACCGTAGCATGAACTATGAATTGATGTGTTTGTTCTGCCACTTAACCACCAGCTCCCCCCAGCATCTCTCAGCCCCTCCTTACCCAATAGCTCAGAAAAAAAAAAAAAAAAAAAAAAAAAATCAGACAACAGTCAATGCTCCTATGTTAAAAATTAAAAAAAAAAAATAATCTTGACATTGGGTTTTATTTTTTCCTCATCTCCTGTCTCCTGCACTCTTCTAGTCTCCTTCTACAGAACGTAAAAGCTGTAATATAATTCCCCACAAATGTGGGAACACTGAGACACACAGTCTCAGCATATCTGTTCTCCCCTTTCTTCCAAGTGTCCCAAACTTTCTGAAACTGAGATAAGTGACTGTGAACGACAGTGGTTAATCCCAGAGAGAACAGTTTATGTAACAACACTGCCCACTTTGTATCTAAGCAATTTGTGCTTTTCATAACTTCATTCTTGTCAATTTGAGGATATGTAAAGAAACTTCAAAAGCAGATGCCTTCTCCCTAACCCACCCTTGTGGTTACTGTGATATTCCTTTCTTCCTCCTTTCTTTCCTTCTCTTCTTCCTTCCCTTCCACCCTCAGGCATCTATCAGCAAAAGAACATAGGACCACGATCCCACAGATGCCTCCTTCCCTCCTCCTCTGCCTTCATGGTGCTGAACCTTCGTTTTTCCTTTGCAGAGGAGGAGTAGGAAAGGAGCTTACGGCATAGTTTAAGTATGTTGATTTTTTTTTTTTTCTGTTAACTAATACAACATGTTCAAAACTTTGATTTTGTATAAGCAGAGGAAAAGAGAGGGTAGGAAAAAACAATTGTGGAAGATAAAGGAGTCACTTGAAAGAGATCCAGACGTGCCGTGCCATTGCTGTAACCAAGCAAAGGAGAATCTTTCCGGGTCTGGAGAAAGTTAGCAAAGTGTAGCATTGCGTTGTGGGAGGCAGACGCAGAACTACATATGTTAATATCTGCTCCTAACAAAGTGTTGACCCGAGAGGCAAAGCTGGATCAAAATCATCACTAAGACATGGTGAGACATCACTTCTATTTAAGAGGGACTTTGATGAAAGAAATCACATTTGAACTTCAGCTGCAAACTCAGAAGTGCTGTTAAACATATCCAGGGTTATGTTTCAGTGAGCATCTGCAAAATTCAACAGAAGTTCATCAAAAAGCTCCCAGAGGTTCACAAGGCTTTTTGTTGGAGCTAGCTGCGTGAAACCTGGAGAAGCAGAAAATTTTACACAGTTTAATCTTGGAGCACTGTGGTTCAGCCAAATCCCTTCACTGAATGAAATGGAGAAGGCTGGAAGTTGCACAGCCTGGTAACACACTCACAGCAAAGATGCCATCTCTGCCCTGAGGAGCTTATGGCTCTCGGCTGACATTCAGGGCCCCTCAGCCTCCTGCATTTTAGAGTACTTACTCATGGTTAACTATGAATGACAACATTAATTTACCACCCAAGGATTGTGAAGACAGATCTGATAGTGCTTGCAGGGGGTGGCCTTGTGTAGCATAACGTCAAATAAGGGAAACAAGCTAATCACATCAACACCTACCACAGCCTCTATTTACCAGCACTCTAGAGAGCAGGGGGGAGAATCATTAGGGACCATTAATACTAGCAGGCCTGTGAGGTAGTATTGATCAGCCTGTCAGTTTTTGGTAGTATTTATGGAAAGTTAAAGAAAATTTAAGAAGCTGCAGAGGAAAAAACCACAATGATAAGAGGGAACTTTGCGCATCCCTAGGCTGGTGGGACTAATGCTTTATAAGGGTGTTACGGGGACACTACAGTGTCAGACCCCACAGCTGTATCTTGGAAAGGCAGGAACTTTCTGTTAAACTGTGAGCAGTTCTCACACCAGATTCCAGCTCTTACACTGCATAAAGTGAAGATGCTAGCTTAGGTGAAAGCACTAGGAAAAGAGGAGATGGAAGTGAGATGCAGAGGAGCTGGCATCCACACTGGTGTCTGAGAAGTGCTTGAGAACACCCGGATGTAGGCGTTGATGAGAAGGGTCCCCAGATTAGATCAGCCCCTGAAAGTGGCAAGCGTGACACCAGACTTCAGAGAAGCAGAATTTTTTTCAGAGGCAGAATTTTTGTAATCAATAGTTGCAATTGATATAAATAAACATAATATAGTGAGACAAAAAGCTTTCATAGATGGAAAGCAAATCTCACTAATCTAACAGAATTCTTCAAAGAATCAATAAGTATATGGAGGAAGGTAATCAAACAGACTTAAGTGCTTGATTTAAAAAAAAAAAAAAACAAAAAAAAAAACACAAAACAGTTACAAGGGCTAACTACAGAAAATAAGCTCTCTTGTAGTAATAGGGAAGGAAACAGAAAAAGAATAGGCTCAAATACTCAGCTTTCACAATAGAAGGAGGTTACCCGCAGGGTTCTCCAAGAATCCTTCTGGGACCATATGTGTTCAGAAATGATCTTCCAGAAGAAGGCATAAGCCTTCTTAAGTGAGGTGATAAAATAAAGAGGATACAGTATGATCTGGGTAGTCAAACCAAAAATGGAATGGAGAGGGTTGCAAAACACCTACAAATAGCAATTTACAAAATAGGAAATTAAGTGTTGCATAAGTAATCTATAAGAAAAAAATAGTCCTGACCAGACAAACCTAATAACAGCCTTTAACTACATTACACCCACAGAAGAAAGTCAAATGCAATAATTACCTGGAAACAGCATCAGCAATCAGGGAAAAAAAAGCAAGATCTGCCTGTAGCGGACCCTCAGCCCACTGCTTAGAGGGAAACAATCAGTCAAGGCCGGAGAGAGGAAAAAGAGTAGGAGGAAACAAAGAAAGGAGCACTCAAACATTAAGCTCTCAGAAGGCAGTGGTTTTATTTATTTGATTCAGCCCCCCCACCTGCTTCTGGATCTGATACAGCTGAGCACATACAGCAGGCTGTAGAAATAGCTACTTCTCATTATCTATCTTCCTTTATGGCGTGAGTGTTCCTGTCTTTGACTTACAGCAGGAGTACTAAGGAAAATGAAGTGACTTGACTGAGACCCAGGAGAGAGGAGAGAATGCAGTGAAGTGAAAATGTTGCAGTCTATGTCTCCCAGATATTGGCCCAGAGCATGCTATTTCTTTACCCCTGGGTTCTTCAGCTCTTCTTCATGGCCTGACAATGTGGCAATTTCTTGTTAGGAGAATTAAATCATCTGCTAGATGTCAGCTGGGAAGGAGCTTTGTTATCTTCTGTGGTTCCCAGCCCTGCAAACTGCTGTGCAGTTCTAAGAGATCTGGAGCTACGTACATGGTTTTTGCTCTGTATGCACAAATCTTGGGAGTTATACCCAATCTGTGTGGCTGCAGGCTTGAGGGGTGAGAATTTAGTCTGTTTAAGAACCCCACTGGTGTAAAATCAGCATTACTCAGGTTAGAAATGTTATCCGCTGGGATTTTCCTCTGAAATATAGCCCTAGTCCCTTACTGTGACAACAAAGTCATTAGCCCTGTCCTGCAGGGTGTGTCTATCCTAACTCCAGTCTTTCTACCAGCAGAAATGCCAGGATTAGCTCCGGATCCAGATCTTTATTGGCATTTAGCCTATGCTGCTGAGAGCCCCTGAGCTCATCTACTGCACTTGAAAGGATCTATCATTGCAGTGTGGATGTGCTGCAGCACTGTGAGGCTCAGCATGGGCCACCCACTAACATACACCCCAGACAAGTTCCACACTGTTGCAGCTACACAGTCACCAGTACATCTGCTAAGTTGTTTAACCCCCTCACTGAAGAATTGTATACGAGTGGCAGTGTCTGCAGCATAACAGCCTAGATAGAGGAGCAGGGAAATAATGGCTGACCCAAATGGAAAGGCCCCAGGAGTTGTGCTTTGACTAGGAGCTCTTGGGCAACTCTAGCCAACAAAAATTACACCTCCTTACTAGGTCCCTGACTTGAGTGGCTGTAACTCATGTGCCACAGGTCATGTTAAAAGAGGTGTTCAATATCCAAGACCTCCAATCTACATCATCAGGTTTGTAAGTATATGTAGGGGGAATGCTGAGGTTGATGTGAACTGTTCCAAGAGTCTGGAAATCAGGTCAGTTCTTGAATGACTGTGTTACAGCGCCTCTGGACAGATGAGTTGCTGCTGTTTTTTTTTCTGAAAAATCAAGCTTACTGTGTCCAACTCACCTACCTGAAGTGAAGCAGAACAGTGGGAAAGCACACCTCTCCCAAAACTTGTCTAGGCAACACAAGACAGGCATTTTTCTCATGATGTCATTGTCCTGGAAACTTTTGAAAGCACACTGTGAAGGAGGAAGCCTTGTGGGTCTGAACTCCCCATCAGCCTCTCCAAATGGGCCAAGCTTTGATGAAACCAACTCATTATCAAAAGCGGAGAAAAACATGTTGGACGTTGTTTACCACTGAGATCACCCTGGTGGTTCTTCCAGCTGCCTGAGGATATTGGTGAAGACAGAAAGAGGGGGAGATGGAAAGAGAGAAAATGCCTGTTTTGAAGTTTCTATCCTCAAGATGATGTGTTTTCTTTCACTTATTTGCTCTTTAAAACTCTGGAGAGCATGTCTACCCAAGGCCACTGCAGCGTGTGTTCTGGGTCAGATCCAGAGTCTGAAGTTTCTTCTGGGGAATTTTGTTTACCTTCAAATTTTTATTAAAAAAAAAAAAAAAAAGCACCAAAAACCTCCAGTTTCCTTGTTTCTCTTGGCATTGGAGTGGATAACACTGTCTATAAGAAAGTGCATATAATGTTCCCCACACAATCCAGTTTCATCTTTCTTGACATTATGGTTCATGCCTAGGAGTCTGAGCTCTGCATTGCTAACAGTTGCCACATTCTTATGTTGAAAGTCTGGAAGATTTCACAATCTGAGTATGACACGGAGCCCATCACAACAGTAAGAAGTTGTTTTCTGCTATGCTCACCAGAAATTATGAGAAACACAAGCAAAAACCTGCTACAAGTCTCTAGTCATTGTACAGTTAAAAATCTTTTGCTGCCTTTGAGTTGGTTAGAAAACAAGAACAAAAGGAAGCTTTTCCAATTTTTTGTCAATGTTGACATGAGCCACAAGATGACTCAAAAAGAGCTAGGTTGTGGACTTAAAGCAAATCCACAAACATCAGCGAATTTCCTGAGTGTGTTCTGTGTCTGAGTTCATAACCTGTGTCCAAACCTCCTCTGGGCTGAGATTGTTTCAGAGTGACCTGTATTCCACCAAGGTTTGAGCATTTTCCAATGAGCACCTAAAAGGTGAGCACTTGAAGAACTGTCAGATGTTGGAAAATCAGATGAGTGATCAAAATGTGATCCTTGAAAACTGATGAAAAAAGCAGATGCTTTCTTTGTGAGTGATCTAAAAAACTCTGTATAATAAAGAGACAATGAAGGTCCAGCATTTGCTTATGATTCTTGATTCTTTTTTTTCTTTTGTTTGTCAGGAAACAAGAGACAAGATTTGTTCTATTTATTCCTCAGCAGCCTGATAGGCATCAAGCACCAAACTTCCAGTGCCCAGAATACAGCCCCACTACTCTAGCAAGTAGCAAGTTTCAGGAGTGACATTTTAAAGCTTTTGGGGAACATAGGGTGGAAGAAGGCAAGACGTTTGCTTGCTTTAAGGAAGGCATGCGCCCAAGTGAACTGCCAACCCAATTCCATTGGATAGGCTGGCATCTGTCCAGCTGGGTTGCTGAAATGGGAGGCACAGAGCTGTCATCCTTTTGATGAGCTCACAGGGATCTCACACAGATCTAATAGGGGAAACCTAGTGACAGATGAAACTTACTGACTTGGATATTCATTTTATTTGTGCTTTATGACCACAAATTACCAAGGAATCCTTAACTTAAAAATGAGCCAAGAAATGCTACAATAGCATAGTTCTGTATTTTTTATTTTTATTTTTTTGACAGATCTGTTCCTTACACTTTACACTAATAATGCCAAACATATTTCATTTTGTTTTCTTGAGACAAAAATTGTTGAAGAAGAAATATCTGTAGCTTCTCTGCTCTGTAATAACTATATATATTTTTTTGGCTTATGAGGCTGAGCATGGCTTGATAGACAATATGATTCTTGTATGCACCAACACAACCTGAAAAGAATTTTCCTTCACTTTCCCTTTCCCTTCCTCTTCCCCCTTTCCTTTCTATTTCTTCTCTATCCTTTTGCATTTCTACAAAAGGAGTTAATTTTGAGAGCTTGTGTGGTTTTCATTAGGATCACAGTCTTTTGAAATGTCAGAAGAATGCCCAGCAGAAACTGAAATTGATATTAAAGGGTTGTCTCAGATCACCCTCTGCACACTACTATCTTGCTTCAGCTTAATTGCTTTAGGGTTGGTAAGTGGGAGTGTCGCCTTTTGGGGGAAGAAAAGAAAGGAAAGAAATGAAAGGGAATGAAAAAGGGAGATGTAAACCAGTTTTCTCCAGTCTTCACTCTCTCTTTTACCCAGTATGATTAGTTCCTCAAAGTGAAGATCACTTTGAGGAACAGCGTTTTGGATGAAGGCTTTCTGGGTATTGAGAATACCACATGCAGGAAAAGCACTGTAACCTAGGAGCAGCGAGGATGTTCTCTGACAGCATGAATCTTGCTGGAATGAGGCTGCCCTGAGCAAAGCCTGTCACCAAATCATCTAAGATAGCTAGATTCATTTTCTTTTCCCCAGTTGGACTGGGAATTGGGTTCATACTGTGACAAGTATGACTGGACAGGTGAGAGTGTTTTTGTGGAAATATGTAAATGTACATCCGCATATACACATGCATGCATATCTCTTCAACTGTTGTCTGAGCTGTCACGGAGCTGTTTTCTTTGGAAAAGAAGGAGATTGGTTATGAACATGGCACTTTTCCTGTCTTTCTTTGGAGTTCTTAATGGAATATACATCCCCACTTTGCCCAGGGAATTGGGGTTCCCTATCTAAAGGGGCTGAAAATGCCAACTGAAAGGCAGAACATATAGTGCACTGGCATGTGAATGAGAGTGGGTGAATTTCAGGAATACTTCTCTCTCCTTTCCATTGTAGGAAGCCAGAG